AGATAGATAGATAGATAGATAGATAGATAGATAGATAGTCCCATGTATGGGCCACATATGAACCCTGCCTTTACTGCACCCCTGCAAGCATGCCACTGAGGTACTACCAATTTGTCCCCATCCTCCAACCTCTTCCTACACAGGGTGAACGAGAACAGTTGTCCCTGTGTACCCTGTTTCCCATTAGAAAGTGTTATTCACACTGAAACACTAAGCAAGTTTAACCAGACATAAGAAATCGAATCAGCTGCCCCATAAAGATTGTATGTTGGTTATTTCAGGCACAGTTTTTTGTTTTTGTTCTAAAAGAGACACTTTGAAACTTCAGGTTTTTCTGTTCTCATTTGAAGGTCTAGTCAAGTTATAAGGCTGAATAGAAATGACAGACTGAAAGGGTTAACTTAAGGAGAGAACTGGGAGATGTTTTCCTCTCAAGATCTGGTAGAAACTGGTAGAAATCTGTCAGCAAGGGGTCTGTAATTAGGGTTGCCGTATCACCTAATTTACTGGTCACCCGTCCCAGATTACAGAGCCAGAAAAGCTTACGGGTAGGGCCTACAATTTCCAGAATCTTCCAGCCAAAAAAAGTAATTTTTCTAAACTTTGAATAAATAATATCAATATCTAAAAGTGGGTCTTTGTTGAGAGGTTGTTAATGAGGAAAATCGAGAGGTCTGATAGGGCTGGGTGTCCATATTTGGTCTGGTGGTTTCTTTCCTCTGTTCCAAGGTATCTCAGAGACAACAACGTTGGCTGCTTGACTTCGTCCATGCCACCATTTTAAGATTTTATTGGCCAAGACTGGCTTTATTAGCCATGGTCCATGGAATGCAAAATAGAAATGTTTTATATATGCCTGTTTATATATGCCTGTCCCTTGAACCTGCTAAAGGTTCATGGGACAAAAGTCTGGCGGCTACAAATTTGACTTTGAATTTGGGTCCACCAGACTAGAGTATACATGTTATTCAATAGTACACGTGTGCAGTGCAACAGCTAAATACAACGCCTTGCAGACATAGGTAGCACTCGTTAAAATCTCCCATCAATATTTACCCATTTTTCTAAATATTTGGAACAATACCACAAAGCTACATAATGTTTTAGTAAATATCCATGTTGTCTTGCATTATCTATATCTATACTTCCTATTCTCAGTTAAATGTCTATAGAAATCTTTTTTTGAACCACCAGTCTGGAATCATCTATAAATGAGAGATAATACAAACATCTAAAAATGTTTCAGTTTCCTTACTCTGGAAAAAGTGAAGCCCAGCCAGGAATGAATCCAGGATCTCTAGTAAACCACAACAGGGCCATTAGAAAGAAAAGGACAAGAGTGACGATTTCTGGGTAGCTGTAAGAGAAGCAGAGTGTTTTGTGTTACCATAACCCTTTGAAGCTCTTCGCTTTGACATCACAGTTACATTTCCCCTGTGGGTTTAGCCCTCTGCCTTACCTTATTGGTCCAAGTTTCTGGTATTCTGCCTTAATCACCTGCGCTGAAGCTTGTTCTCTGGCTGATTTTGCCTTGCCACATTGAAACATGCCTTTGAAACTGAAAGGAACATGGATACTAATATGAAAATTAAAAGTAAAGGTCCATAGGTTATATTAAAAGCTTTCATTTCCTCTAGGTGGAAACCAAAGAACTACTTGAATACTTAAAAACTCACTAGGTGGACATTTTTAACTTTGCCCCTTTGAACAGGAGACCCCTGCCTCCTTCTCCATTTTGTATCCAAAATTGTTTCAGAAATCCCCTTCCATTTCAAAGAAGTAACATGACATGTGGGCATCTGTTTTGAAAAATACACAATTCAAAGCAGATGTCTTGTTTAGAATAAAGGTTTCTCTTTGAGGCCAAGGATAGCTCTATCTCTGTCCCTCCACTTGAGTTAGAGACTTAAGCCTTATCAGTTTAGAGCAGGTATTGGCTATTGTAGTGGGAATATTTCAGCTGAGGGGGGCGGATGGACAAAGATCTTTTATAATCAGACAAGCAGATATTAGTATTATGAGTCTGCTGAATCAGTGAGTACCATGTGCAGAAGTCCAGAGTGATTCACCCAAGTGCTCCCATCCTAATCCCAAATGCAAATACTTTGGAATACATTAGGTTGATTTTAAGTGTACAGTCTTTAATTCTTTTATAACTACAGTATTCACATATTGGTTGTTGTGGGTTTTTTGGGCTCTTGGGCCATGTTCTGAAGGTTGTTCTTCCTAATGTTTTGCCAGTCTCTGTGGCCGGCACCTTCAGAAGACAGCACAGAGGACAGAGTGCTGTCCTCTGAAGATGCTGGCCACAGAGATTGGCGAAACGTTAGGAAGAACAACCTTCAGAACATGGCCCAAGAACCCAAAAAACCCACAACAACCATTAGATCCCAGCCATTTACTGGAAGTAAACACTACATGAATGGTGCCACCTTCTCTGTAGCAACTGCTGATGGAATTTTTATATGTGTAACCATCCATTCTCATTTTAAAGTGATCCAGTATAACAATCTACGTAAACTTCTACCACAATCTTGGAAGTAACAAATAATTTTTAATGTAATTAATTCGTTTCTAATAACTCAGGCCTAATTAAGATATGCTTGATTGTAACTTCAAAAGGAGACAATTTTCTTTCTCACTACATGGAAATGTTTAAATAAATTTTATACTACAGAAGTGTGGCCTCATTAAATCATGGAGGAGAAATACCTCATGGTTCAAGAACAGGCTCAAGGTGTGCCTTGTGCTGCTGTCTCTCCTGCTCTGCTGTGGTTGTTGAGGGGACTATATGATAGAGACGATGTGCTTTATTCTTTAGCATATTTTTTTTTAAAAAAGAAAAAAGGAGAAAGAGGCTATTGTAGTTACTTTTGAAAACTTAGTAACTAGTGTTCCTTTAAAAAATCCTGCAGCTATAATGGTGACTACCTTTTGGGACCTGAATTACAATGGTCACTAATTATTTTTGCAAAGTAATTTCACAAGCCCTGGTTCTGAATAATTCATTTGTAGCTGAATTGACTCATCAAGCATTTTATAACTAACTCCTATGCATGCCCTGATGGAAGAGGCTTACTTGGGTGTTACATCTGCTTCTATGGACCCCGAGATGTCCAGAAACTGAGATCTCAGAAGAGCCATAATGTGTCCTCAGTTTCTGAATGTCTATTTGAAATAGTATAGTACTCATCAGCTGACTCCAAATCTCAGTTCTTTTCATTGTATCCTTTGGTCCAAGAAAGCGGGGTGACTTACCCTCAAAATTCAAGGTGCCCAGCTCACAGACCACAGGTTGCCTATGGTCATCCTCCCCTCTTGTGCCTCTTCTTTAGTTCCTTCTGCAATTACTGCTTCCTTGTCCAGTTAACACAGTCTATTATCTTTTCCTTTCTTGATCTATCCACCTACTTGCTTTCATAGACCTCTGATACCCATAATGGTATACCTTACTGCAAATAATCCAAAATCATCCAAATGGTGTGTTATGTGCCACCAAACTGGAACCAACTTGTAACATCCCTAATAGGGCTTTCAAAGTAAATGAAATATTTAAGGGGTGGTTTACCAGATCCACCTGGACCTCAAGGTTCTCCAAGCCCTTGTCTGTCACTCTTTCCATGACACCATACTGGGTATTCATGCGAAAATACATAAGCACTTTTCCCAACTCCATGTGGCACATTTCTCTGTTTTCATGAGCCTCTCTTGGACTCTATACTCCTTGTGTATGGACCTGTCATACTTGCCCTTTGTATAAATAACATCACAATAAAAATACTTACTCAAACCCCAGGAAAAGCCACTGGAGCCAAATCCAGGAAAGGAACAAAATAATAAGAGTAATGGGAATGCAAAGAATAAACCAGGATCCAAAATTGATGCACTGGCAATCTGGGTACCGTCTGTATGAAAATGAAAATGACACTTCAAGTTATGACAATGATGTTGTACATGAAAAGCAAGATAACCATTAAGCCAAAGTTTTATCTAAAGATTGTATTTTCTCTTGTGTACATGCTTTTGTTATTACAGTATATTTGATCTTACTTTTTTATTGCAGTGTTGTGATCTGAAATATGGGTAGCTACTTTCAATAAAGCACATATATTAGACAGCTTGGGTATAAATACTGATATGCCTAAACAAGTACCAAAACACTGGCCTTAAGACATTGGTTTCCTTCTTTCAATGCTTTGCTGAATCTTGTTCCCCCTCTTTAGTTTCACTTGTCTTATGGATGGAAGGAAAAACATTATCGCTGTAGGCATCTAGGAAATAGTTTGTCTATGTGTGAAGGAAGGAGGTGGTGGCTCCTCCATGTTTTCGCAGTCATACTTAAAAAAGATGGCTTTGTTCTCCGTTGCCTGTTCATATTATATTACATGTTGGAAGTGGTCATAGGATCTATAATATGGAAAGGATTTGGTGGATGAACCAGCCTTTTAAAAGAGGCAACACTAGGATGAAATTGTCATGACCTTTCAAAACAACCAATAATTCTGGCCCTGGGACTCCCAAGTATTGCAGTTCCTGTTTGCTAAAATATCAGCTTAATATATGTCTGACTCTTCAAGATAAAAAGTTTGATTGATCTATGTATTTCAAACACAATAGAAGCTTAAATAACTATAATCATTGCATTGATATAAAATATAATACATTTGTGGTACTATTTAGGAGTGTATTGTATTAGATTTGTACTTAGGTTTCTGAATGTCATCCTTGCAAGAAATTCTGAAACAACCAGGATGAAATTGCCTATTTACATGGTAATTAATCGATCTTTAAAAACGTCATTAAACCAATTCAATTATGTATAATAGGCTAAGTTCTGCTCCCACTTAAATCACTAATTGAGCGAAAGTAATTGAACAATAGTATTCAACTGATGTGGCTTGCTGTTGCAGAGTTTTCATAGCAATCTCAATTCTATCTCTGCAAAAGAACAAAACACTTCATAATTAAGTAATTGTTATCTCAACTATAATTGTGGGTTGTTGATAAAGGAATTTGAAGCTGATAGATACCTCTACTCATATTGCAACAATACCTCTATGTTACAGGCATTCATAGGATTAGACTGTTGCTCATTTAGTTTTTTTTTCCTTATCATCAAAGCTGATGAAAAAGAATGTGATCAGGTACACATGTGAAGGAAGAAGTTTTACAAAATAGTTAGATTGCGCATGGCTCCCTATAAAACACTGGGTAAAGTAGTAGAAACTGGTCTCAAAATCATGGAAACTGTGTGATTGTCAGCAAAAGAATATTTACAAATAATTAGTTTCAGGGCAGTCACAATTCTAAAGCAAGCTGTCACCATCTCTTGCAAGTCTCTCACCCTCCCTTGCTGTGTGACATACCATCTTCTGAGGCAGGGACTTAAGAGGCGATGCCTCTGGGAATGTTCCTTTAGGGAGCAAGCACAGACTTCGTCAGACTTGTGCACGGCAAGCTCCCGTGTATGACGCAGCCTCCTCTGCATTGTAATAACCTGAATTTCCCAGTCAGAAAGTCAGACACGGATCAATAGCTTAACAAACACAGGGATTTTTATATATAATGAGAAGAGGTTTTCATTGGGATAAAAAAAGAGAGAGAAAGGAAGTTTTCTTTGATCGTGTTTAACTTTGCTATGAGAAAGTTTTCAGGTTTGATTTCAAAACATGTAAAACTGTATCTTTTACTGGACAAGTTTTATTGGACAAGAAATAGAAAAGGTCTGGTTTGCATTAGGTCTTTTTTCAGGGCTGTGTGCTGGTGGAGGTGGGGAGCCTTAGAGCCTGCCTTCCTATCTTGGACGGGGATGCCTCAGCTGAGGGGCTCAGAAGAAGAATGTCATGTTCCACCATGGATCCTAGGCCAAGGGTTGCCTTATCTCATTTTCCAAAACACCCAGTGTTTTCTCCAGTGACAACAAGGAGAAAAATCAACAGATCTTTCTTTATTCGTATCAGAGCATTCCCCAGTTTAAAATTATGGGCCTATATGAAATATAAAATTCAGACAAGTTTACAATGTTAAAGTGATTTAAAAAAAACAGAACTGGGCTACTTCAATAGTTTTATCATGGCCATTTGTTAGATCTTCTTTAGTACACATGATAGGACATAAATTGCATGCACATCTGTGCTGCATTGATTGGTTTTCTCTGCATTCACTGAAAATTTGTCCTATGTCTAAGTATACATGGCTATTCTTTGATCTTCCTACTATATCCATTTTACTTGATTATTCTTTGATCTTCATACTTCACTTCAGAGTCTAGTAAGTGACTTCCAGATGGTCCAGCCAGAATTGTTCTGGTGGGAGACACTCTAAGGCATTGATCTGTTCGGCAAGGTATGTTGTTTTTACAATCAACAAGTGCCAATTATACTTTATCTGGCAGCAGAACTGGATAAAATATGTAGACACAGCACTCCGCCAAGATTAACCTTGTTACATGTGATGGGTATTTCAAGTTTGAATGGGGTTTGGGGGGGAGAAAGAACCTCTTTGATATCTTTCCTTGTTCTTCTATGGACTCTTTACATGAACATGGCATGCAGTGTACAGCAGGGATGTACAAAATGAGCCACTCCAGATGTTGTTGGACTGCAACTCCCACCGGCTCTACCATGCAAAGCTAATCATGAAGAATATTGAAAGTTGTGGTCCAGCAACACCTAGAGGGCTGGCTATACACTGCTTATCTCTGAGTTGCCTGATACAAAGGTTTGGCTAAATTTCAGAAGTATAGGTGCAGGGATTAGGGAGTTATGATTATGCAACAATATGGAGAATAGGACTAAAAATAATTATTTCCATTTCTGTTCAGTTGGCATCATTCTCAGCTTCTCATACTGACTTCTTAACATCCCTTTCGCAATCACTGTAACTAAAAGTATACTGAGAGCACTATTGAAGTTACTTTCTGACTAAAAACCAAGGCTCTCGGTCCGAGAATTGCACATTTGCTCCTTTGGTCTTCCATTTCTCAGTGCTTCATATTTTCCTATTATGGTACAGATGTTCCAAAACATGTGAAATACTTAAAAAAAACATCCAAGCACCTTAACCTCCTTTCTCCCAAGAGCCCAAAGTGGTACTGAATCTTTGGAGCCAGATTAGTTGACCTCAGACTGCTTCAGTCTGAGCTGCTGCAGATTTCTAAGTCATCAAAATACTGCAGGGGGGATCACTGCACTGATGATGTGCTTCAGGTGAATCAACAAGTCTGCTGTTGTTTTTATTCCAACTGGTAGCAACTAGGATGGGTAAGAAATTTCCAGAATTTGCCAGTTCTGAATATGCAAGAAAGCAAATCTGATAGATTTGCCTAATCCCCAGGATTTGACAGAGCTTTCATTTCAGAATTTACCAATATTCACAAATTCCACATTAAAAAACAAAACAAAATTAGAGAAGCTAAACTTGATAGTAATGTTAATTTCTTATTTTTAAAAATGCTGGTTTATTAGGCCTCAAATAGACCAGAAAGACTTTAATGTGCTGGTGTTAAGACCATCATAACTGAAAGCTGCTAGACAAAGAATGACTTGCTCTCCTTTCTCATTACAGTGGTGCCTTGCTAGATGATGATAATCCGTTCCACTGAAATCGCTGTTTAGCAAAATCATTGTCTAGTGAAAAGCATTTCCCCATTGGAATGCATTGAAACCTGTGTAATGCATTCCAATGGGGGAGAATCGTTGTTGTCTAGCAAAGATTGGCCATAGGAAAGCTGCTTTGCGAACCACCGATCAGCTGTTTAAATTGCTGTCTTGCGAAGCTTAGATCCCGAAAACACCTGTTTTGCGAGCGCAGAGGAAGCTGTCAAAATCGTCGTCTAGAGAAAATCGGTTTGCGAAGCAGGGACCAAACATTGTCCAGCGAAATTCCCCTATAGGAATCACTGTTTTGCGAATCACTATAGTGATCGCAAAAAGTCAATGTCTAGCGAAAAACTGTCACGTGGGGTAACTGTGTAGCGAGCCACCACTGTATTTCATTCTTGAAATACTAGAGATTCTCCAGTGTGACTTCTAGCCAGTACTTCTATTCCTTGACATTTTCTCCAAAGTCCATTTTCGCACTATGAGATCAGATTTACAATGATCCTAAGGCCTAGCAGAAAGCCAAACTTCTCTAGGACAAGAAAGAAAAACTATCACCATGTGAAAAATGACATAGTCACTTCCCCATATAGTTTTTAGCTAGGAATCTTAGCTTAATAAACCAAGATGCAAATGATCACAATGCTGCTGTGTGCACTGTATTTCCATGAAACCAAGTAAACAAGACTGGAGTTAAGGTTAAATGTAACAAGCAGTAGTTTTTGGGAAACAACCAAAAGACTTAATCTAAAGCTGTCTTACAATCCTTGTTTGTTTGAATGTACAATCATAACTACAGATGTGACTGTGAAATAAAGCTACTCCTCCCTGTTTTGCTTATCCATTCTTACAAAGGGAAAAATGAATGAGTTGCATGTATAAGCTCACATGGGTATGTTAATGCAGGATACTTGATTTCCATTTACACATGAATGCAACCATATTGGAATTAGTGCAAGTATTTGAACCTTTCCTGTTTTGAACTCACAGAACCTACCAGGCATCATGGATAGTGGCTATATTAGTTATAGAATTCTGGGAATTGCATTCTTAAAAAGTAATTTTCCCCAGCTCTGAACTGATATGCCAACTCAAAATTCATCTGTGACAATCAGGGGTAACAATTTCTGTGTGCTAGAAATTGCATAGCCTATGTGCTCCAATAGAAGAACTAGGATTACAGCAAGATAACTATAAAAGATTACATTATCACAATTATGACTGCATTATCATCATCACTCAAGGACATATTTTGTTCTATTAACTTTCCAGTGAAAAAATATCTTTGACCTTAGGGTGCTGGA